GGTTATACAGGCCAACTCACTTCTCACCCACCTTCTCATAAATTGTTTAATGCTAATTTCCAGCTTGTACCTAGACCAAAGAGGAGTGACCAGCCTTTGCAAGCTCTTACTGTTTTTACAGATGGATCTGGGAAGTCCCACAAATCTGTTATCCTCTGGTGGGACGACCAGCGCAAACAATGGGAATCGGATATAAAGACAGTGCCGGGTTCCCCCCAAATCGTGGAACTGACTGCCGTCGTCCGAGCCTTTAGAAAATGGTCTACACCGCTTAATATCATCACTGATTCAGCTTATGTTGCAGGGATTGTTGAACGAGCTGAGGCGTCTGTGTTACGAAATGTCTCACATTTTGCATTATTTGCTTTGTTACAGGAGCTTATTTTTCTTTTAGATTCTCGCATTCATTCCTATTTCATTATGCATGTCAGATCTCACACTTCCTTGCCTGGCTTTATAGCAGAAGGGAACCGGCAAGCTGACCTGCTTACATTACCGGTACAGGTACTGCCAGACCGCATAGCACAAGCAAAACTCAGCCACGCTTTCTTTCACCAAAATGCTGGTGGGCTTAAGCGACAATTTGGCCTTACTACTCAGCAGGCAACCAGTATAGTTGCTGTGTGTCCCGATTGTCAAAGGCACTCATTTCCTACAATAGCAGGAGGAGTTAATCCTAGAGGATTGCAAAGTTTGCAACTTTGGCAAACCGACGTCACTCATTTTTCGGAGTTTGGTCACTTAAAATATATTCACTCCTCTATTGATACCTTTTCTGGGGCATTATTTGCCTCTTGTCATACTGGCGAAAAGGCGCGCGATGTTCAACGACATCTGCTGCGTGCTTTTGCCACTTTAGGCATACCTTCTCAAATTAAAACTGACAATGGCCCTGCATATATTTCAACTGCAATTAAAAAGTTTTTGAGTTCTTGGGGGATCAACCACATTACGGGTATCCCTCATTCCCCCACGGGCCAATCCTTAATTGAACGCTCTCATCAGTCTCTGAAACGCTTATTGCAACAACAAAAAGGGGGAATAGGGACCGTTACCCCCGAGGAACGTCTTCAGAAAGCTTTATATGTTTTTAATTTTCTGAATTGTTCTTTGATAGACAGTAAGCCTATCAGGATGGTTGAGAAGCCTTGTAAAAATGATTGTGTATGCTTTAGAGTTTTTATTCTTTTGTTACTTTGTTTACCCTGTTTTTTGCAGTGTGTGCAGAACCTGATAGCCAGTTCAGTGAAAAGGGTCCTTATTGTGCAACAAGAAGGGGGAGATGTCGGGGGCAGCCTGGTCTCTCCTTCTAGCAGCAAGGACGTGCTCAACTTGGCGTCTCGTAATTTGCATAAGCTGTAAGCAAACTGTTACACCCCTGGGGCTAAGGACGATTTCTTCCAGGAGGGCTGGTTTCGTAACTAGAGATAAGCACGTGCTATAGAAACAGGAGTAGAAGTCGTTAAGGAGAAGAATGCTGTGAGCTAGCAGAAAATTAACTGCAGAAAAAGTCAAGCTGACCTTAGACGTTAGCCAATCATGAGCTCAGTTTTTGTAATATGTATTAGGTGATTAACCATTGTGCCAATCAGCTTAAAACACGTGTCTCTCTTTGTCTGTTTGGAATATAAAATCGGTTGTTGTGTTCAATAAAGTAGATCCTGACTTGCATCGAGCTGGGTCTCCGTCTCTCAATCGCGGCAACTATGTTTTGTAGTACATTAACAGGCTTAAAACAGATGAATTATGGTTTTCATGTTTTCTTTCCTAGAGTAATTCTAGCAAAACAGTCATTTATATGACTTCTAATCTGGTGGCACAGATGTATAACAAACCTCAGAGCCTGACTCCTGACTGGCCTAGGGGAAAAATTCTGGCTGTGGAACAGTTTCCAAAAATATTACAGTAATCATAAATATTTCAGAAGTTACATGCAATTCCTCTGACCTTCATCCTTAGCTTATATGTCAGTAAAAGTCAGAGCTTTAAAGAAAGAACGCATCGCATATTAACATGGGGAAATATAAATAGATTAGGTTTAATTATTTAATTTAATGTAGGGTTGGATTTTTAATTAAATGAGTGATTTCAACCACCTCTATAACCAAACAGTATGTAATAATAATAAAACTTCCTATAGGATTAAATCAGCCATTAGAAAGAAGCCATAAAGATACATATTTTTTTTTCGCTTTCTGGTGAGATGAGAAGCATTGAGGGCAAAGCAAGCTGACACCAGAAGTCAGCATACAATGTGCAGCTAAGTTAACCAGTGAAACTGTAACTGAAGCTAAACTGGTTACATTATTGACAACAAGCAAGATTGCCTCATCAATATTTCTGACAAACAGTATGATAGAAAACAGCATCTCCCCCTTAAAATGGACAATGACAATGTCATGTCTGGAAACAGAGGTTTGGTGGGGAAGTGAAGTTAATTTACAGAAGCTACAGTGTTGGGACACTTTCAAAAGTACACGGTAAGATAATTTTATTTAGGAAATAACTATAATCAGATTCTTTATCAACCCAAACGCTGACTCTGTGAATTCTTATGAGAATCACAAATATAGGAAGTCATTCAGCAGATCAGTAAACTGCTAATTTCTCAAAGCATTTATGATTGCGAGACAACTGTGATTTGTGCTTTTTACTCCACTTTTGGGGTGAATTTCAAGTAAAAAACCTGAAACATACTTTTGAGAGTTTCCAATCCTAAAAAACATTCCAGTAAATAAGAGTACAAAACCACACATATACAGAGGTGAAGTTTTTAAGGGAAGTGGTTAAAAAAAATCACTTCACTCTCCCCAACATGTCAGCCAGTAGTTCTCTTAACCGCAATAGGACTTTTCAACAAAAGCCTATCAGCAGTTTGCAGTATACTTCCTAATGACAGCAGCAACATGGGCTCCTTCTAACCTGACATCAACTCTATGCACAGAGATCATCCTCATCCTTTACAAGTGACTTACAAGTTTAAAGAATCTGCCTTGATCATGCAGTTATACACCCTTGCCTAACGCAAATGCAATGCAGGCAGCTTGACCTCTGCTTCAGGAGGTGCTGGGCTATCATTACTATTCATTAATTTAACATAAAACAAAGAATCTCTTAAGACTAATGAGCTTAGTGTCACTGTGTTCTCCACAATAGCACCACTCCTTAGTTGAGATTTTGTACAGCAGCTGAGTCACTCCACTGCCCAGAGAGAAGGTAGCAGCTAGCAGCAGTCAGTCACCAGTTACTAAACTTTAAGTCTTAATCCTACAAACATCTGTACACGTTCGACTTTGTGTGGGTACTAGTTCCATCCAAGTAAGAGAGAATACCAGCGTCTTCTAAGAGGTAAGAGTCTGCAGTGCAAAGCAGACACCTCACGGCACGGCACATCACTAGGTTATAACAAGACGCATACCTCAACTTTACATCGACTTCCTCTGCCTGGATGACTGCACCAGTCACAGGCTGCACAGTGACAGCATCGCCTGGGTTTACTTTCAGGTTCTTCTGTGTGGTTTCACTCAGCCCAACCTTCCCTCCTGGAAAGCCTATGGTGGGCCAAGCCGTACAGACCTAGGAAGAGTTTCAAAGCAAACAATTATCAGTTAAAATTACACACAGACTTCCAGTCCTCCAGTTAAAGTAAGCACTGTTTTGTCACAAAAAACATGGGCTGAGAAGGAACAATTAGGTTAAAACCTGGTGCCACAGGGTAACATACAAGTAGCACTGGGTTCTTTAGATATAATCCAAGACACTTCTCAATAAGGAAGGGGTTATACTTTGTCTACAAAGGAGATAAAATAATTCCACCAGGACCCTACACATTCAGCAGATGACAGAAAAGTGCTGACTAGGAAATGCTACAAATCAATGAAGAAAGAAAAATAAAGGGCTATACTCTTTCTTTACAATTAAAATACATGTGTGTGGATATAAAATACATATATTCACACCCATGACTTATAAATTTCTTGAAAAAAGTCAGCAGCATAAATTTTTTTCCAGTACTGAAAATAAAAATGTAACTACACTGTAGAAAACAGAAAATCACATTCATTATCTTTCTCATGCATGCTCCTTTCTCAATGGTCCCCATTGAATACAACAGGAACACACTAAAAGCACAAAAAAAGCACTTGCAGAAACAAGAGTCTCACCTCCTGTCGCCCATCAGCAGAGGTAAGCAAGACCGGACGACCTATGCATACGTTTGCAGATTTCATGCTGCTCAGTGACAGCTGGGCAAGGGCTCTTCGCAACATTTTTGGAACTTTATCATCTCCTAATATTTTCAGGAGAAAGAAATACATCATTTTTTCCTACCTATCAGATGAATACAGTATTTCTCAGGCTCCCCAATCAGTACAACTAACAACACCCTTCCAAGCCCTCATGAGAGCCATGAGGGAAGCACAGGGACGCTCTTGGGGGGAAACCGTGCTGCAACAGGAGAGTGTTTCTGACAGGCCTGAAAACACCCATAGTTACAAGCTGCTGTTTGCTGGATTCTCCACCCCATTTCAGCTACCAGCGGGACCCTTCTGCGGTCCTTACTCTTTCGGCACCGCAATAAAAAGCGAATTTCGCGGGGTCTCGGCCGGCCTTGCCCCAGGGACAGACCCCACACTCCCTCCCGGTCCCGCGGGGCCCGTCTCCGCGAGGGGCCGGGGCAGCCCCTTGAGGGCCGGAGCCACTCTGGCAGCCGCGGGGAGCGGGAGCCCAACTTCGCAGAGACTCATCTGCAAACGAGCCAGCCCTCAGCCCAGCGGGCCGGGGCAAGCGTCGGCATACCCCCGTACCTGCCTCCGCGGGGTCAGCAACGCTCAGCGCCAGCGGCCCACCCTCGGCCCGCGGACAGCCACCGCCACCCAGGGTCGGCCGCCCCTTGCTCTTCCTCCTGGAGGAGGCGGACATGCTGCCGCGCCGGCTACCGCCGAGCGGTTCCGGGAGCAGAGGCCGGCCCCGCCCCGGAGGCGGCCGCTTCTTCCCGCTTCCCGCCGCTGCCTTACGCAGCGCCATGGTGAGACGGTGGCGGGCGCGGGGCTGGGCGGCCCTGGCGGGGCTGCGAGCGCGGCCGGACAAGTTCGGGGGGGTGAGCGTGGACCTGGCCGAGCTGCGCCGTCCCCCGCGTCTGGAGAGGGCTGCCTTCGGGCGGTGGCTACGGGGCAAGTGCCGGGCGGGGGCCCTCCCGGGGCGGGCGAAGGGCGGTGGGGCGCCCCGGGGCGCCTCGGTCCGTGGGTGAGCTCCCCTCAGCCGCTGCCCGCCCAGCGCAGCGGCCGCCGGTTGTCATCCGCTACATGCAGCCGCGGCGGGCGGTGGAAGGGAGCAGAGATCCCCTTTCCTAGCGCCTTCGGGTGGATCCTGACAGGAAAGCCGTCGTTTTATGTGTAAACGCGACATGGTACCGCGCCAGACGCCGAGCTGGCGGCGCCTCCTGTCCTCCTGTTGCAGCTGCCATGTTTCTCGCACCGGTGGTAGCTTGACCCTGTGGTAAATGAGGTAAAAATACAGACTCCGATGTGGTAATCCCAGCTGCCGTGCCCGATGAGGTTGAAAACCAGAAGGAGCAAGGGTGAGGGGTGTCCCAGCGTGGCGGCAGTGGCTGTTACCCTCCTTACTGGGGTCTCTCTTGCAGACGCAGTGGCCCGGTGGCGGGAGGAAGGCCGCGTCGCCGTCTGGCTGCGTGTCCCCATCCTCCAGAGCGGGTTTGCGGCAGCCGCCGCCTCGCAAGGCTTTGCTTTTCACCACGCCGAGCAGGGCTCGTCCACCTTGACACTGTGGCTAGGAGAAGGTCCCAGCAGGCTGCCGGGGTACGCCACCCACCAGGTGGGAGTTGCAGGTTGGTTGCACCCACCAAAAAGCCTTTTGAACTAAACCTTGGGTCCAGGTTCTGTAGGAAACTGGCTGTTCCGCTGCACAGCCAGCACATAGAAACCAGCTTCTTACTGTTTGGGTTACTTTACAGAGTGAAGTGTGTCATTTGTGAACGTACCTGGTACAACTGTGCATGTAGCTAAAACCAGGCTAGTAAAGAGAGAGGTTTATTGAAACAATTCTATTTTGAGAAAATTGTAAACCGGGAGAAGAAAATGCGGTCCTGAAGCTTTAATATTTTAACTTATGAATAATGTTTTTAAACACCATTTTGAGAAACTATTTTGGCTTTCACCTTGCAGGTGAGAGGGCAGGATTTCAAGGTTCAAGCATTTCTTTAAAAGTGAAGAAGTAACTACAAACTTCTTAGAAAAAAAATCACTTAACTGTTCCTTGTCCTTATTTTAGATGCTTAATATATGCATCTGCCCAAACTATGCTCAGGGTCTGTGAATAGGGCAAGCATGATCCAACAGGGATTGTTCAGGAGCTAGCACAACTGTTAGCCTAAATTACAACAGTCTAAAAGCTGCTGTAAGCTGTGCCTAGAAGTCCACAACACCAAACAAGTATATTTTACAAACAAACATCTGGACACCGTTCTCTTACCCATCTAGACCTCCCACAACTACATTTGGAAAGCAGTTGCTCTAAAAACAGGAAATTCCCACAGAACTGGATAAGATGGTTTCCTTTTTTTTTTTCTCTTTTTTTTTTTTTTAATACAGCACAGTACGATGAACTGATGATGAGCCAAAACTACAGTCCACTTGAACTCAGCTTCACTAAATGTGAATGGTTTTGCCCCCTCTCTCAGCAGTCTTCCACAGATACACAATTACCTGTCCCACCGCTGAGTCATCTCCTTGTAATCTAGATGTTGGTTCAGATGCATACTGGTAGAGGCTATATAATACTCAGCAGTTACGGCAGGGACAGCAAAACTCTCCTGTGAGAAGCTTGACTTGTTTATCCTTGGCCTGCAGGGCCTGTGTGGGATGTTAATACCTCACGAGGTCGTGTTAAGACCCATAAATAAAAATTTGAAAAAAAACTAGTTAGGAAGGACTCAAAAAAGCTGGATTATTCTATGCAGCAGCAGGTCAGGTGAAAGAAAGTTTTAGAAAAACACGGTCTTCAATTACCGACCAGCACTACTACTGTCGGCAGTGGGAGTTTTCAGTTACAAAGCCAGCAGAGGGCAGGGTAGAAGCTGAAGGCAGGCTTGGATTTTTTCAATGGACATGTTAGAGCATGTTTTCCTGAGGTATGAAAACCTCACCATTAAAATATGTGGCATTAAACTCAAGTAAGATAATGCATTCTCCTAGCAAAAGCACCGTGTTAATCCTTACGGTTATAACTTGCATGTTTGAGGAAACAGGACTAACTGAAAGAGGATTTTTCTGAAGTAGGTTTTGCATAGCTGAAAGTGCTATTTAAAAGAAAATCATGTAGTAAATGTGTTGTGACCCAGTGGTTATCAGGAAGAAATATAAGAAAAATCGTAACTCTGAAAAACTCTCAAACTTCTGCAAAGATAAAAAATGCACTTTCAGAGCGTAATTTGCTGTTGTACTTTGAAAGAAACACTATGCAAGTAGGAAAAGACTTTGAGGAAGTAAGTTTAATAAATGCAGGTATATGGATTTCATAATTCATTGCACAGATTTTAAAATTGCAGAACATGTAATATATGCACTCTTTGCTACCCCTTTTCAAACCTGTACATTTTTATTCATTATTGGGAGTTTCTATAAAAGAGGTAAAGACTAAAGAAAGGCATTTGGGCAGGTCAGCAGATTTCTGTGTGCGAAATGACTGCAATACTATTTTTTTTTCCCTCTGTTCCACACACTCTCAGTGGATCTGGAATACATTCCAAGAATACATTAAGCAGTGTGGATACCACCTGGCATACGTTTATTCCATTACCTTTTTACTTCAGGGAGAGCCTGGGTAGTGGAAGAGCTTTATTCTATTTTTAATTAATTTTCTTGAAATACTAAATTGTTTAAATAAATGCATTTATATTGTGTGTGTGTGCACCAAGCCCTAGGCATTTTTATGTCCTGAATTAAAAACTGTATTTTAAAAAGTTTCTGCAGTAAAGAAAAGCAGATTTGCTGATGAGAGCCTTTCTCTCAGAGCTGAGGCCCATCAGTTTAATACAGGACTTAGTCCCTTGTGCATCCTGAAAATAAAAAGCAGAGATGCTGAGTGTGGTTTGTGAGCCTGCGGGGAGCAGGCGGCAGGTAGCAAGCCTGCATTGCCAAGCAGACCAGCAGCTGGTTTTCGTCCTGCCTGGAGTTTCCCACACAGTGAGCGCGGCGCAGCCAGGGCCAGTGCCCAGCCAAGTGATGACAAAGGTGTGAATAAGCAAGGTCAGGTCGTGTTTTGCCAGACTAGATCAGAGTCGCCAAGCAGAGAGTAGCAAACGTTACTCATTGGGCTTGGCCATTATTGTTTAGAAATAGTGGAATATGTGATGTGTCTTCCAACTAATTTACTGCATCCGTTTGTAGGCGGCAGGATTTTCCAACTATGTAAAGGTACAAAAAAGCTTCTGGTGTATGAAATGATTAAGATGTTTTTAAAAAGCATTTCCAAAATTCTCCACCTCCTAGGAGGAAGTGGTCTGCCATCCAGAGAGTAGTGACGTGTTTGTAAATATGCCACGTAACAATAGCATAGGAAGACAGGTTGAGAAAGGAGAGGAAAAGGAGAGGAACTAAAGTAAATGTCATTCTCTTCTCCCTCCCGTGTAGTATAAGCCTTACAACACAGCTGTTACTTTCATTACTACCTACCTTGAACTAGTTGTTGAAACAAGTGATTGAAGAAGGGTCTCCACACACACCTACACATGCATGATCGTCAGCCTTGGCCAGTCCTGTTATGGAAATGTGTAAAATGAGCAGCTGCGTAAATGTCTTAACTGCACAGGAAGATGGAGCTAAGTTATGATGATCCAAGGAATCAAAAGCAATTTTAAAGCTATTCCCAAGTTACAAAGTAATAGCTGCTGATGTTTACAGTGGAAGCAGTCGTGTGTGTGCTCATTACATGGATGACAAGTATTTTTCAACACTGAACATCTTCTCATACATGTTTACATCAAAACAGGTAGAACTAAGATTTTTTCCCCTCCATTACTCATTGTCTGGACTTGTCTAAGGGATTTATTTTTTTTTAAATACTTTTTTTACCTGTTTCCCAAAAGAGACCATTCTAAACAAAGCCGTGTTGTAATAGCGATTACTTGGTTAGGTTACAAGTGTAAACCTTTCCAGAAAGTCATCCTGGCGTTGGGTGGTTTAAAGCTCCAGGTACCACACTTGTAGCAAGAGAGAGTTTTCACAACTGCAGCTGAGGGCCTGGGGCCAGGCCCTCATCTCCCAGATACGAACCAGGTGCGGCCCAGCAAGCTTCAGCAGAGGGACTCCCGAGTTACACTTGGGAAAATGAGACCAGACAGCAAATCCCGTTAAGTGTTTTTCCTTTCTTGTTTTGGATTTAGGTATCAGCTAGCAGAGATTCTGGACATCTCACAGAGAATCTCACTGCCAAAAATTACATCCACAGGCATCGATTTCTGGGGAACAGAGGAGAGAAAATGTTCTGTTTGATTCAAACTGCAGTTTCCTGTATTTAGCAGCCCTCCTTGGTCTCAGCAAACCATTTGGCTGAAGAATGGCTTTTCTAGAAAATAATCCCTGTAATCACAACATGCATTGAAGTTGCTCTTGCTTTCTTTCTGTTCCCTCTTCTAAACAGTACAGTACTTGAACCTGGACACTGCTAAATATTTACAGGAGGAATGAAATCATAAAGTCACAAGCCAGGGGGAGGCAGATATGTGACTACCCTCTTAAAGCATGTCCTTTGACATATCTTGAAGGAAGACTGGTAGTTCATCTTTTAAATATTCCTCCTACACATAAGTCTGCCATGTATTAAAAAGTGGAAGCTATTTTGAGCTGGACACTCATTCCTTCATAATTCCCTTCTGTGGAAATACTTCCCCATAGCATTTTAAATGCATATATCATCACAGATCTGTCCATATACTCTTCCTCCTGCCGTAGAACTACATGAGCATTTTTTTATTGTTGACTACTAACTTGAAACCCATGCATGACTGATGTGGAAAAGAGCCTGGTAAGCTGCACCACAGTACTGATTCTGCTCACCACAGTGTGCTTTAAAACCTGAGAAAAATACTTGTTTTAAAGGGAAGACATTTTTAAAGTATGACCAATGAGTGTGACGTGATGATTAAACACGAATGGGTTTTAAACACTTGGGTTTTAAAAAGTAGGAAAACTTGTAATCTGTGGGAGAAAGTCACGGGCTGAGCATGAGGACTCAAGGAGAAGCTGAACTTTTCAGCCGTACATCCTGATTGATTTTTTCTTAATCGTGACAGTGTTACTTTTCCACTTGGAAGCAATGCTTTTTGATTAACGAGTTGACTCAGATACTGTGCAGTTCCCATCATGAGTTGTTAGCTGGGTAGTACAGTACGAGTTCATAGGTTCTCAACCAGTTGAATGTCATCAGTAAAGTCACCCCATTGAGTACTAAACCTTGTGCATTATTAACCAGAAAACACTCAGATCTTTACTGCAGCAGGTGGGAGTTTGGCTCTGAATTTCACTGGAGAAAAGTTTTTACCCATCACAGATGCTTGGCCAGAGTCACTGGAAAAATTTCTGTTATTGGAGCGAGATTACAGGCACCCCTCTGCTGATGCAAGCAGCTTTGCTACATTATTTGGATGACATCTTAAGCTTGCATTCTTTAGTTCTGATAATATTAACACAGGCAAATTATTACTTTTATTTTCTGTCTAATCTGGAACTTAAACGTGGGAAGTATTTATCTTGGTACTGCTAACTTTGATTTTTTTATACAGGATACTTAAGCGTTTTCATCTTTTATTGTGTATCAGTTTTCTACCAACAAACCACTTTGTGATTCATCCATACAAGTCTTGCTAAGTGTAAACTGAGTCTCATTAGGGGTTTGTCATGCTTTATCAGAACATATTAAATTATGGTTGTGACTGAACATAGTTGTCTAACAATCTTTGTCAATATTATCTCTCTACTAGGTGCTGTTCTAGATGAAAGCACTGGAAAGGTGTTGGTCATACAAGACAGAAACAGGGTAAGTTATAGGATTATTAAATAGAGAAGTTCATTTAGATAGGCCTACTCTGTGGTATAAAACAAAGATACTTTTATTCCAGTCCAGAATTGTGATAGTTAAAAGTTGCTTTCTTTTTCAAGTGTCTTGGAACACATATATTGACAGAGTGCTGTATTGCACTTGAAGGGGAAAAAAAAAAAAAAAAAAAAAAAACCAACTTGGAAAATCAACAGCTTTGTTGTTAATTATAACTGGTAATTGAATCAGCAGAACTAAATATCCTTTCTGCTTTGAGTTCTCTGATTTCCCAAGCGTCCCTGATCTTTTGTTGGGATCCATGCAGACCTCTGGAAAACCCCAGTGGCTCGAAGCAGATTTTGGGAAAAGGATTCTGATTTTGTTTGGTTTTGAAAATTCCAGGCATATCTGTGGCTGTAAATAAGCAGTGACATGGTTGGCCACGACCTGGAGACCACCTTAGTATAGCAGGTGTAAAGACCATTGATTTCTCACAAACTGCTTGGCCTCGCTACTGAGAATGCCAAACCAGAGAGTCTTGCTGTGGTGATGGTGGGTGGTGTGATGTGGCTTGAGGTAGCCAAGCATCCATCACTGGTAATGTCTTCCAGCCTCTCTCAGGCTAACCTAGTTTTTTATACAGCACGTGCAGAGAGCTCATTAGCAGTTGCCTGGGCTATTCCATTTCAAGTACACTTAAGTTTCCATTATGCTTTCATTTGCAAATTAAATTGTCTCTAGTACAGTAAGATTAACTGCAGTTTTAACATGGAAACAATCAAATTTTACATACATAGACTGAAGTATACTTGGATGCATCATTTTCATTTTACGTAGTTAAAACTATGGCTACATTTTTCTGTCTTTCCTGAAATAGCTACTAAGAGATTGCTTCTCAGGACCCAAAACATCACTTCAGTTCATTGGTAACCACAACACAGTTAATGAACATCAATGAAAGGGTGCTTTCATAGGCAGGTTCAATCATAAAACATGTTGAATTTGTAACACAAGAGTTCAGGGGAAGAGAAACGCCCTTCTTTCCTGTTAACTATTAATTTTGTATTTTTACTTCTCATAAAGTAAAATTTCAAGGGCGTCTCTACAGCAGGACCTTTGGGCTTACATTCAATAATTAACAATTAAAGCATAAATCCAGCATGCAAGCTCTAGGCTCCGAAAGTGGTTCTAGTTCCAGAGTCTCCAGGAACAGAACAGCACATTGTAAACTTTAGAAATGCTATCTTGGTTTTTCCTTTTACGCACACAGAAATTATAAAACTGCATGCTTACCTTTTAGGAACATCATAAACAGGTCTCAAAGAGTAAAACCAGAAATTGCACACTCTGCATATTTAGAAGGAAATAGTAGTTTCCTAAGCCCAGGAGGCTTAAGGTTTAACTTCTTCACGCTGTGGTTTTGTTAAAGCTCGCCCACAGCCATTTTAAGTGCAGATGTCTCTATCCAGTTTTACAGGGAGACATCAGATGCTCTTTCAGGTTCCAGGTCCAGTTCCATACTGGCCACGCATTACCCCCTTACCCTCTGGCCCCGAAACACAAGAGGACCGACTGGTCTGGCACCACTCTGCCCTGCAGCTCATTCTGGGTATATTCCAGGTCAATGATGTCAGCTTACCTTTCCAGAACAAAGCTGACAGCGCAGTGAGGGAGGGAGGTGAAAGGAAAAAAGTACTTGTTTCTGATGCCCCGCTTTACAGCTCTCTCTTTCTGACTGGAAGAATTAAGTATAAAAACTGAAGTGTGTGAATACCCGTACACTTCTTGTGCAGCGAGCAAATAAAATATCTCAGTGAAAGCAAATTGGCTCAGACAGTTGTTTCCAACTGTCAGTTCCACCACTTCTCTCCCTTCTCCTTCCCTCGAAATGAACAATTTCTTGAAATGGTGACTGTTAATACAAATGGTGTTCTGAAAGCTTAAAAAAAAAAAAAATTAACAGCTAGTGGAATTTTAAGAGCTGTTTGGGTTTAATCATGAAAGGACTATTCCACAGCACACAAAGAAAGATTTCCAGGAACTGAAAGCAAATCTAAAAGCCAATAGACAAATAGATGTATTTTCCATCTGCACTATTTTTAATCTATTACTTTAAATTCCTATCCAAGCCCTTTAAGAGTGCCCAGAAAAAAACATTTTCCAATGTAGTCGGTGGGGTTTCAAATCACTGGAGAACACACAACTTCCCTCTCTGTGCTGTGTGTACAAGAAAAGCAACCTTTTATTTTGCCAGTGTACCTTTTCACTGAATTAATTTCTAGTTGAAGGTTAACTTCTTCCTACATAAACTTTTAATACAGAAAGAAATGAAGACTAGTACATAGGTAAAGCATACAAATCTTTGTGCATTTGCAAGAGGTGTAGGAACTGGGACTCTTTTACCAGTATCAATAACAGCACCAAGTCTGCACTTCACATTCTGTTTTAAGTACTGAACTTTATTGCAATTCAATAAATGCTTCTATATATAAATCACACACAAGGCCTCAGTTTTTGTATTCCATCAAAACAATTGACAAGTTACACTATATGGTTATTACAGACACACAAAGTCACCTTAAAGCCAGTGCAGCACAGAACAGTACTACAATCATAATACCTGTTTGTAAGATTAAATATATATACATTTTTTAAAAGCCAAAACCATGGAAGTGGAATACATTAGTGATTAAATATAAGATTATATAGTCTATAGCAGCTTTTTTTAATATTCAGCTACTCTAGTTATCTAGCAGCAACATTGTCTAATGACTGTTAGACAGTTTGTATTTTCAATCAGTAGATGTTTTGTTCCAATATTTCATACAGACTGATCATCACATTAGCAAGAACAAAGTAGTTCCTACTTAAAGCCTGACTAATGTTTGTAAGAGTAATTACAATACTGCAACTTCAACAACAAAAAAATCACGTTAATTGTCTCCTTCATACTAGAGGCTGCATACTTCATTAATATTTTTTTCCACCAATACAGACTATAAATGCGTGGAAGTTTCCAGGAGGTCTGTCTAATCCAGGTGAAGACATTGGTAAGTCCTAGGACGACAGGTCAGATGTCAACAGAATTATAAAGACATTTAGCGTACTGAAGTCCATCGTGACCCACCTCACTCCTATCACTTCTCTGAATTAATAGCGAATAGATGAAGTGACACGATCCTATGACCCTAATGGTAGTGGGGTAACATAAAGTTCAGGGAAAAGAAGTTTTGTATTTACAATGTTTACCCTTTTCCACAATTTCTCTTAAGTAAGCGCTTGAAGCCAGCTTACTTTTTTGTAGGCTTAACGGATATGCTGTAATAGGAGCCAAAAGTGTAGAGGATTAAGATAATCAGCATGTAACCCAAATAAAACTGAAACGACGAGCTCTCCACTCACACTGGAATCCAGGGCAGTGAGCTCAATAACGTACTGAGCAAAAATTTCCAACTCTCCATTTTTATGTGCAAAACAGAAATAAATACACTTGCTTCCTTCCACTAGTGTTCACTTGATTTGTTCAGACTAAGAGCTCTTTGGCACAGGACCAGTGTTAAGTGCAGTGCCTCAGTCTTGTGGGCAGCTACTTTTGGCCAGAGACATAAGGCATTTCTGTATTAAAAAAACACGCTGATGTGAGGAAGCCGCTCAGTTCTACCCGACATAGCACAGGTGATGATGAGCACTGCTGCAGTTACATTCAGAGGTGAATGAACAAGGGTGTTTATGAAGAGACGGAAAATTGTGCTTTTTCTCCTTGTATCTCACCCCTTAAAAATTATAGTCTGTAGACCTGTTAATTCTCAACTTATAGTGCAGTTATTAGGTAGGCCTTGTTTTCAGAAGTTACATTCACTCACGTTAATTTAGCCCCACGTCAGTATTCAGATATAAATATATTCTTCCAATAACTCAAAAATTCAGGACTCAGAATTGTTGCCCAGAGCAGTGCAGCAGCTCTGGCAAACTGGGTATCGAGCCTGGGTTGCCTGACTCTTTCATACCTTACAATTACCTACTATATTAGCAGCCTTCCTACAATAGTGTGTGGAGGGCTTGTACTCCAGTTCATTATTTTAATACACGGAAAAAGTTTCTAGTTAGCATAATATGGCCAAGTTGTAGTTTTCAGAACTTACGAGTCACATTTTAAGTCTTCTTGTCAAACACGGTGATGGAAATCAAAAGTATTTGCTTGACACTGCAAATACATGTAACGTGGCAAAATGGATTCACGTTTCCAGAAGAATCCCAACCACTGTGTTTGCTGTGTAGCCAGGCTCCTTTTCACTCCTAGTGACGGAGTGCAGCTCTAGGCCAGGAGATCCCAGAGGGCTTTCTGTATCAAGGGAGGAGAATGACCAGCACTGGCACCAGCTTCCCCAGAGGAACGCTGATACGGAGGAAGCCAGTGCCCATCCCTCAAGTAACACATGAGATTATGGCTGGAGCCTGGATGGAGGTACTGAGAAACACCTGGGAGCAAACAAGTCTCTTGCAGCTCCCTTCCTGCCACTACAAAACTATGTAACAACAGAAGTTACAATTCTCTGCATCACATCTTAATATTACAAGAAGATATAAATTAGTGAAGCATAAAATATAGAGCTTAATTTTGCTTTTTTTATCCTTACATCAAACCTTACAAACTCACAGTCATTCAAGGGACTAAATTTCAAATTATGATTACAAATTGCAATTGCAATGCTTGAAGATCCTGTGATTATATGAAGTGACAAAATATATGGCTGCCTACTTTAATGAGTACAAACTGACTCGCGCAAGTAATATGAATAGTTTCATAATGCAGATTAAGCAAAGTGCACACGTTCTTGTATTTGAATATTTCTGAAACTGAAGCTCTAGTGTTTCTTCTAGCTTAACTGTCATATCTTTTTTTTTATATATACACACACATTTAAATAAAAGGGAAACAGAAAAAGGCACTTTATCTAAAAGCAAAACTCAAAGCTTAAATTAAATCTCTAATTACTTCATTTGTGTTAACCATAGCCTGCCTCAGCATTCCTCATCGTCTCAGCCGTTTACCTTCTTTGACCACTTCTGTATAATACAGCTCCTTGCCGAATAATAAAACCACTTGCCACAGGGAGTTTGCTTCACAACCACCATTTTAAACCAGAGGACCACAAAGGCCTCTCTGGGCAACATAAAATGCAATCTCTCCAACGGTTAGTAATAGTAAATGAGTACCTTTGCCCATATGCAGTAGCCTTTTAACTAATTAATACTGTAACAGAGTCATAAACATAAATGTTCTGCAGGCACCATGCATTAATGGGTCTCCAGTCACACGAAGACCCCTATATACTTGGTGTAAACTTTACACAGCTCCTTCCGTTGCAAGATGGGAGTTGAGCTGAGGCGGAAATATGTGCAGAATCAGGGCCATTAACATACAGTTGTTTGGCCTCTGCTGGATAAATCATTTTGTTTATATATTGCTAGCCACTGTATGCCCAAATTATTGCCGGTACTTGAAACTACCCCTAAAACGTCTGTTTTGTTCACCTCTGACATACCAAGATGCAGGTTTTCATAGGAAGGCGAATCTCCACAAGGTCATTTAAAATCTATTTTGCTTTTGGAAGTAAGCCAACACACTCATTTCTTACTAAAAATGAACTAACGGCAGCAAGTAGCCCTGCAAAACAGCTATATGCACTTACCACTCAAACAAGACAACTATGAGTTTACATAGATTTGGAAAAAGCAACTATTTTACCTACCAGTAGTTACCCCAGGCTAGTAGGATTTGATTACAATGGAATTGCAGACTCTGGGGAAATAAGTGGAATATCAAAAAATCTCATTTAGGGTCTTGAGTCAAGAGAAAAATCTCTTTTGAAGCATGCTAGATAGAGGGGCGATTCTCTGGCTGTAATTGCAGTACACAGACGCTCTAGGCCCTTGAGGTTAGGGCTGCTTTGTAACAAGGACTGTTAACGCTTACATCGCTTTGGTTGGTGGACACAAAATGGACATGTGCAGCACAGATGCAGCATGTTTTCTGCAAGAACAGGCTACGTGCTATACTGGTGTTATGGCGTGTTTGCAATGTCACTAGACACTTAAGATACATCTTGAAAAGGACTTAGTGCCAACTTTCACTTTCTGCAAACAACAGTTTTACTGGTTTTGTTACACCCTGTGGCAAAGTGCAGTGAAACTGATTTGATCGAGTGACCCAACGTACGTCCCGGTGTTCAGCTGCACGGGGGCTGAATCTGACACAGGACAGGGACAAGCAGAGAGGCAGGGGCTAAGAGTCAAAGGAGTGCAAAGAGGGTGCAGTGCTATCTTGGATTAAGAGATCAGTGGAGCCAGCAACCATCAGAATGTCTGTTTCAAAACCACACCCTGTACAGTATTAGCGAAAGTTTCTTACTTTCATCATTTTGTAGTATATACAGAAGAAAGGCATGTAGCAATTGGTTTTGTCCAGGGACCAAAAAATTAGCTTATCCTGATGTTGAAAGAAACAGGCTTACACTCTGAAAAACTTATGAAGCAGAACAGAGAACGCTTTGAGCTAGAGATTTTCCACGATTAAAAGGCTTAAAAAATGTTAAGCTATTCTTGTGTGTACTGTAAGGGTTGCTTTTTTTTATCTAGGAGACACAGCAGTTCGGGAGGTTTTTGAAGAGACTGGCATCAAGTCAGAGTTCAAGTCCATCCTAAGCGTGAGACAGCAACACAAACACCCCGGAGCCTTTGGGAAGTCGGACATGTACATCGTCTGTCGCCTGGAGCCCTCCTCCTTCAACATCAGCTTCTGCCAGCAGGAGTGCCTGAGGTGTGAGTGGATGGCTCTCGCCGAGCTCGCCAGGACGAAACACGCTACTCCTATCACCAGCAGCGTAGCCAAACTCTTACTTTACGGATACCGGGAAGGGTTTGATAAGATTGATATAACCATGAGAGAGTTTCCAGCTGTCTACGCAGGCCTGTTCTACAAACTATACCACAGGGAGCTGCCCGAGTCCTATAGGAACATTACATGATAGTAACACATTTCACATTTCAGTACATTAATAATTTAGAATTATTACTGTAGTGTTATATAGACCATATTAAAATTATCCATGGACTTCTTTTTAGGTTATTATTAGAAAGTAATTATTTATTCTCTTAATAAGCTATAAATTAATTTTAAAGGTAAATACTGCTATAAGTGTGCATCAGATATGTTTTCCTTTACTCTGTAAAGCAAACATAAGGTAAATAAAATAGCTCTACATAGATATTTAGCAGAAAACAGAAGTGTTATTGATCCTGAAAATATGTTTTCCAAGTAATTTTACCTGCACACACACTGGCACAATAGGTTTAAAGAGCAATATAAAGACAGTATGAAACATTCGTGTTTTAATCTGGTATCTGCAAAAGTAGTTAATATCAGCAAATAATTGCTTCTATTTTTGCTACTTCAGAGAGGAGTAGGAACGTCGACGTCTTTAGCGTTGTGTGGCATATGTGCTCAGAATCCGCCGTGGAAATCAGCTTTTAGCAGACATGGGAAGAAAAAGGATAGCTTTCTGTCCAGGTCCCGTTTTTGGTCCAGGTTTGTACTGTCCAGTTCTTTTCAGTGCCACGTACCAATCAGAGTATTTCCGTGATCGGTAAGTGTTATAGTTATTAGATTCCAAACGCTCAAAAAAGAAACATTCTTCTGTTGCACATTTCTAAAAGGGAAGAAGAAAAGGATTACTGATATTCAATCACAAATCGATTCTTCAGATTCATGGGACTATTGTATCAAGAGTGTCAGTTAGTACGTTTGGTTGTCAGAAATTCACATTATATGTTCCATGTTTGAAGAAAGATACAGTTACTGTGAAAATACTGTAAAAACACACTTAAAAGAAGAAGAGATTTTAACTATGGTTCATTTATTGTCTTTAACGTAGACGAAGCAGATTCTAGTTTGTTTTCACTATATTAGTTCTTTGTTCTGATCTGAAATTCAAGCAGTTAAATGAAGAACCCTGTCCCTTGGCACTTACTCACTTCCAAGTGCAGTAGTTTTGCCACCTCATCCCAGTTCATAATGTAACCAAAACCAAAAGCAGGATGTTAGAGAAAAGGCAGTACTTCCTTGCCTTCCTCAAACCAACCTTTTTACCAGTCAGATAAATAGTATGGCGTAGACTTTCAGCCTTTGCCTATTCTTTTCTAACTTTGAGGTTTAACTTTCCTAAAGCTAATTCAAGTCTATATAGCGCTCCAAAAAAGTGACAAGCCTGGATCTGTTCAAGATTTTTTACAATTCAAAACTTTTAAGATGGTTTTAAGAAAAGATCAGACCTGGCAAAGAGGCCTGTTCCACATACTCTACTAGTGTTTAGAAGTACATCTGTGGATTATTGTGCTTCTGGAAGTAAGTCTTCAAAACCAGCTCCACCTACATGGAATTAACATGCCTTCACACCTACAAATAAAAGAAGTGGTTCTTCATATAACAGGTGAAAGTGGAGCTGTGGAACTCCTTACCACAGGAAAGTATGGTTTCCCCCAGCTTACATGGACTCAAGTCACGTTTGGACAAGTTGATGGGAAAGAAATTAACTGACATTTACTAAATAGGTAAAAACCATTCTTGGCTGAGAAAGCCCTGGAGTTGAGATTGGCTGCAGGCTGGGAGACCAATAGAGGGAATTGCTCTGTACGTCTTTTCTTCTACACTGCGCTTGTCCACCATCAGATGGAAAATACTCAACTGCATATAAAGCCCTCAGAAGGTAAAGCCTGCTGTTAACGAACACCGTGTGATGTGCTTTCTTCCACACACGGCAGAAACCACTGCTCCCTTGAGGTGGCCATACCGAAGAGAGTCCTCATTTCCAAATGATCCCGATCCTATCGGTGAGATCATGTAGGGTGGGTGTTATCTATTGCAAAACTTTAACCCACAAATTTTCCTGGATTGTTGTTACTGCCCAGGGGCCTCAGAACCCAGCAAATTTAACTCTGACTAGTATTTATAGCTATTCATAGTCAACTGAAAACAGAAAGGTTTATTCACTTTCTGAAATCCACCACCAAGAAACCACATGGTTCCTCCATATCAAAAACGCAAGAGGACGTACAAACAGCTTCAAGTAAGGTCTCATTCCACAGGAAGAGGATTACTACCAGTGGTTAACTGCATTTATCCCAAGGTATACCCAAGCCCTAGTCACAACAGCAGAAGGCCTGTCTGTGGGCAGCACTGCTCTCAGCGGCCACAATGGCAACCTGCCTGCAGAACTCACGCTTTAAGCAAGACAAAATATTTTCTCAGATACAGAGATGGCAGAAGTTCAACACCAAAGGAACTTACAGGGGCAGGGGGCACTTTCTCTTCATACACACCACCTGTCAGTCCAGCAATTCAGTCATACTCATTTGCCCAGGAAGTTTCTGAGAGTGATGGAGGAGGCGAAAAGCCAGTCACTAAAAAGAAAGCACGTAAAATCTTCAAGAGGAGACAGGGAATGCGAAGCAATACCCTAAATGAGTGGGCTACTCTGTTACAATCTCCTGCTAATATCCATGAATATATAAAGTGAACTTGGAACAGCTACACTTCATGCAGTATGCATGAAAACATACAAGTGAAAAGTAACTCCTCATATATGCCAAGTTTCTGTATCTACAAGCAATTAAGTCATTTAAATGCAGTCTGGAATCAAGTGATCTGTCTCCAAACATATGTCTCCAAATATAAGATTTTTTTCCTCCAACCCTTTTCAGATATGAATTTTGGTTTCTGAGGAAAATAACTTCTTAGAAGAGAAAATCCATATGCAATTTCTCATTTCTATAACTCACTAATAGTATCACATTTCAAATAGCAGAAATGAAACGAATGATTTTCACGAGATTTGTATTTTAAATAATCTTCCTCAAGATAAATCGTATTTTAATGCCTTTCGTTCCAGCAGTGTGAAAACAGATGCATTAATCATCTCAACCCACAGATCCAAGCCTGGAAGGGATTACAGCGGCCTTAAGAGGGCACAGAAACCGTATAAAGAAAAGCAGCGCTTCAGAACAAAAGCTTTAAGCAGAGTTTAAGCAAGTTCATTGGGTACAATTACCGAAGCTGGAAATTCTGGCAGGGAGACCACCGCAGAGGGCTCACACCTCGCTCTCGCCTCCCGCTGAGGCTGTGGCACTCCCGGCAGCGCCGAGGCAGGCGGGCAGCACGGGCGCTGGGGACACACCGGGCGGGGCACGGCCTCCGCATGCCGCAGCGCCCCGTTTCGCCACGCGCCCTGCCCGGGCAATCCCCCTCAGGGATGCGGAGCCGGGCAGGTAGCTCAGCTGCCTGGCACCGGCGGGAACAGAGTCTTTGCAACCTCCACCAGGAAGAAAATGGCCTCCAGCACGGCCCTGGTGAATTCAAGTGGCCACTACCAGACCCCACATACAGACAAAAGGCAAATTTGCACGACCCCCTCTCCTATGTGCTAAATCCACAAAGTAAACACAAGCACAATTCCAAGAAACACATCGTTTTTACTTAGCCTTCCTCATATTTTGCAGGTTTAAAAAGCAAAATAAACTCCCACAACAGATTTTCAGGCAATTTATGGGTGCTAGAAAAAATAATCAAAAAATGGTGAAAAAGATGAAAAAACTTTTTTTTTTTTTTCACATCCATAATGATATTTTGAAAGGTGCCATGCAATTCACTCCCGACACAAAGCATACGTGATTCCAGCGCTTTCCTACAGTATGTTGCCAATGTAAATATTCTGACATAAAAGTGAACACTTAGGTAGCAAATGATAGTTTGGGCTTCATGAACTACGTATTGCTTAACAGCTGCCAAAGGCGACATTTCAGAAGCCGGACTGCTGTCCAGCCAGCCACCGTGTTGTGAACCTCAGCCCCTGGAAAAACCCAGGCTATCGGTGGGGTTTAAAATGCACTTTGGTCTAGGCTGCATTCAAAGCAGTGACCTGGCAGCAGAAGCTTTCACAGCACATCATGAAATACCTGAACTCCGCAGCCCTTCATGAAAAGGATGAAGGAAGGGAAAACACTTGGGGCAGTGGTGGGGAGCAAGTGCCACTCAGCGCCTGCCCCGCCACCCGTCAGTGTTTTGTCTGCTGCCAAGCAAGATCTCCCTCCAGAAGAAGTCTGAGCAACTACATAAAGCGCTGAGTGCAGGAGTTTTTAACGTTGGCAACACTGGTTGTAGCCACACTTGTCCTATGGTCTGCTGCATGCCACCGCTCGCGGTAGCCAAACTGCAACAACCACCAAAACCCTGAGAAGGGGATCGACCCAGGGCAGATGAATTGATTGAAAGAGGCAGCGACTTCCTGCCACAAAGTTCCTCGTCCTTTACTTGCACAGCCAAGTGCCACCCACTGATTGATTTTTCAGTGCAAACGGAATCTGCCTTAGTATCACATTAAGCCAGTTACCTAGTTTTGACATTTTGGACTCAGGAATTAAAATTCCTCAAATTTGTTCATTCTCAAAACTGAAACCAGAGGGTTAACCTGTAACTACCACAGTGGATGGAGTATGACCCGAGAAAGGTGATGGTAATATTTAGCTTTCTCTACCTACAAATGGGCCAGGAAATTAAGGTTATTCTCACAAATATTCTTGTACCACAGTTTTAATCCATAATATCAAAAGAGAAGAACTTCCCTTCAAGTCAAGCCCTCAGTCTGGCAAGACCTGTGGGGTCACAGTGAAAACACATAAACATGACAGACAGAACGAACAAGTTGTATCCTCAAATGACAAATTATTTCTTGTGAAATATAAAAGTGCAATTCTTCCTTTCATGGGAAATTCTGAGAAATTTCTTCATTAAACAAAATAAAGTTAAAAAAATTAATTCCACAAAGTGAAAATATTTATTATAATTAAATGAAAATGGAAAGTCAACATTAACTATAATACCCATATCAGAAGTGAAATGTTTCAATTTTCCCATTAAAAATCTAATGGAATAGATACATTTCTGCACAAATATTTTTAGTGAAAACAGTATTTTCCAAGGGGAGGTTTTGACTAGCTGTCCTGGTTTGGGCTGGAATAGTTACTGTTCCTTTTTGGTAACTAGAACAGTGCTGTGTTTTGGACTCAGCAGTGGGTTTAGTATGAGAAGAATGCTGATAGCACTCTGATGTTTTTGGCCGCTGTTGAGATTTCAAGGACTCTCCGACTCCCCATGTCGTGCCCATGCACAAGAAGCAGGGAGGGAGCATGACCAGAGCACCAGACCCAAATTGGCCAGTGAAATACCCCGTATCACAGAACGTCATGCTCACTATATAGAGGAGGGGTGGTCAGGAAGGGGCTCTCTCTCTCTCAATTCCAGGATTGCGATTGCAGGATCTTGGTATTTCAGGATCACTAGCTGGGAACGGGCTGGGTATTGGTCAGTGAGTGGTGAGCAATTGCATTGTGCATTGCCCATTTATATTTTCTATTGCTGTCATTGTTTTCATTTTATTACCATTATTAAACTGTTTCTATCTCAACCTGCGAGTCTCCCTTTACCCCTCCAATTCCCTCCCCCATTCCCAGGTTGAGGGGGAGGGTGGGTGAGCAGCTGGGGGGTGGTTGGCTGCTGACCAGGCTCCAGCCACGACATTAGCTGCATTAACAACCAGCCATTTCTTCCAGCAACTGAACTGATAAAAATTACCTCTCCCCCACAACAACTGATTCCATCAGTAAACAGAGAGCACGAAACTGCTAAATTAAAAGTGGTATCATCCACCTTCCATCACACTGCCAGCCACTGCACCACCCAGCAAATCGCCAGTGTAAGCAGTGATATGCTGGCTATGCAGTAAACCATTTTGCAAAACCCAGCACAGAACCAAACATAAAGACATGTCTCAACAAAGTAATTACAAAAACATCCAACTAGATGAAAAACAGGACTGAATAATAATTAGTAAAACTATTTTTAAAGATGTTGATGTATTTATAAATCAATGACACTACAGAAACTGATCCTCAACCCTGAAAAGTAATATAGAAGAAGAAAAAAACCCAGGTGTTAAAAAGGACAGAATAGTTCTCGAGTGACTAGTGGATTAGAGAACTGAATCGGTGTTCAGTAATTAAAGTTCCATAATGTTTTAAAAGAAAGAACCAAAGGTTTCAGCAGATACAAATTTATGTGCACTGACGAGATCACCACAAAGATTTCCAGCACATGCTCCTTCAAAGCTCCCACTGAAACACAACATTGCTCAAACTGAAAAAGAAATGCTGGCAATCAGGAACAGCTTCATGAATGTGTTTATAGGCAGAAAACAGTAGAGGCACAGTTGGCCACAAACTGTTGGAAGTCATAGTACAGAAATCCTCATGGAAAAAATACTGCCTGTGCTGCAGAAAACCATCGTGAAATCGCAGAAGTATTCATCAGGCTGGTTGAAGAACAAAATCTTAAGAGTAGAGAGTTTTCACCTATGAATAGTAAAAATGAGAAGCTGTAGGAAGTAGTGGCTGAGTAAACACTGCGATTCAAGTAATACCCATTTCAGAAACAAAGCAAAACAAAACAAATCTTTATGTGAGAAGCTCAAAGTGACCCAACTTTACCAGATTTTGAGAAAGTAATTCCGAGTGAACAGCAGATACTCTCCAAGCACATTGCCTTACAGGAACTAAGCAGATAAAATTGCTGCATATAGCTGCACGGGAAGCATGTTCTACAACCAAAACCCACCATGCAACAGTAGGTTGGAAATCCCAAAAATAAACACACCCAGGTGTTTATAATTTTGCAAATGGTGCTAAACACCCTATTTTGACCACTCACTGTTGCTCGGGGTGAGGAGAACGATTGGAACAGGAAGCCAATGCCACCACACCAGCACCACAGGAAATTCCCAATTATCCTTAATTCAAGAATAGCACAGTGGACTACTCACATTTTCTTCTGAGCTGTCACACAATATCTGAGTAAATAACGCCGTAACTTGAAACAGGTTCTTTAAGCGTACTCACAGGCGTAAACAAAACAGGCTTCCTGGAGCCAGGGATGCATGGTGCCGAGGAGCACACCACGGATCCCTGCTCATGTAAAACTGCTGAAGGGGTTGGTTTGCCTTCAGACTAATTTCACTTCGGCAGAGGCAGAACAGAAGGGAATCAGAAGTAATTTCTGCAGCCCTTGGCATGGGCCTTCTGTTAGCTGCAGTTCAGCTGGGGTTAGAAATGCCCCTGACCATTAACACCTGTTACTGGTGGGGACTTGCACAGAAGCTGAAGGGGGCTGTGATCAAGACACTAAAGCATCAGGGATTATTTCAAACTGAAATTCCAGTAGGGTGCCCTACAGTGGTACTTCACAGTGCTGAAAGTTTGTCTTCATTGAAAGTGATAAATACAGATGAGAGATCTACATCTCGTAAGCAAAATGAATGTAACTGCAGCTCTTAAAGCAAAACGTATAATCTAGGAGACCTTATTAACTCTCAGAGTCTGCTAAGCATACTAGCTTTAAAACACAGTTACAAATTAAGCTCATACCAATAAAATGCATGGAGTTTAAAACTAGTCTCATTAAAGACTAGTTTAATTTACCTACATTTCATAACTTTTTTTTTAGCATTACATTTTCAAAAATTATTTTCTTGCCAGTTTTCTAGTTTGGAAGTATACATGACCAAAAAAACCTTGATTCTATACAAATGGGAAAATGAGAAAACAATATATACAGATTACTATCAAAAACATAAAAGTCCATTTAAAAAAACTGGCTTTACTGCCTCCTTTAAAAGGGTCTTTACAATCACTTTATGTGAAAGTAAGTGCAAAAGGAAAAAGTTACTCATGAGAAGTAAAAAAGGGAGTCATTCTTCATTTGTTCTTACAATTTCCTTCTATACATGATCACTATGATTTTTCTCTCTCAGGCCATTCGAGTTAAATTTTGCAGCTTCTAGGTGAGGGCAGACAAACCCATCTCTTCCTACTTCACAGTTCAACTGTCAGAAGGTGTGCAGAGGTAATTTCTCCCTGGTAAATCACATACAGAGAAGCAGAGTAAGTCCTGCTGGAGGAGAACTTACTCAGTACAGAGTGAGGAGGGGACCCACCAATACCAAGACACATATATGGAGACAAACATTTTAAAAAAAACCATTGCTTACCAAGGCCAGCAATCTGCCATCCTCCTTCATAGCCAGAAAGCGATTTGCACTTACACCTTTGATTGATACCACTCCTCTTTCTTCTGCTTGAAGTTGCAGTTTGACTGTGAACAAAAAAGACAAAAGTAAATTTTGACAGCCATCGTGATATTTCAGCACCTGACAGTGACACCTACTGCTTCAAACCTAAAACCAAAGAAAGGCCGAGCTTCAGCTTGCAGTGAAGACAGTAAACTTCCAACCTCTAGCTTTTTGATCCTGTTTTCCACCAAAGAAAATGTTTATCACAAAGTAAGTAGATATTGTCAAATTGGCAACAATAAGCGTGAGTTATTCTTCGATACACACACACACAAGCAACTTGGAACCCCATTAAATTCCTTGAAGGACCACTTAAGGCAACTGCTTATAAAAAATTGAAATTTTTCATGGCAGTGTTCTTACAGAGAAAATTCTTAATGTTTACAGAACAGCACTGGACACTGAATGCATGCAACTCTATACAGCTGGACTGTCAGGGAGGCATGAGTCTGACTGAAAACTCTTCAGGACTGTATCACTCACTAAATGTTCTAGCAGTTTCCATCAGAAAATAATCAATTAGTTTACATCATACATCTAACAGGTGGTTAGAATAAACAAACAAAGAACTGCAAAAGCAGATGAGGATAGCAAAGACACAAGAAATGGTGCTATACAAATTAGGAACATGAGAAGTAGGATTATTTGAATCAATTATTTAAAAAAAAAAAGTCATGTTTTTTTGAAGATCTGTAAGGCCATATCACATAGCTTTCAGCTACTGCCTGTGAATTAACACAAAGCCTAAACTGATTTTTCTTAGCCATAGATCACATCCAGCAGCTTAGATTAACACACAAATGTTTCCTCCTCTGCCTACGGCTTGTTTCAAGCTATCAATATAAGCCAAAAGCGGCCTCCACCTAAATGCAGAAGAGCTATTTGCTTTTTTTATTTACTTCTTCCCCAGTTGTTCATGTCATTGCATTCAGAATGATAAATGAATCAAGCCTTTATGTGGTTAAAACAGTGGAGCCAGGAAGTTGCATCTGTGCTATATTTCAGCCTAACCTTAACAGGAATACCTGTGACACTGCACCTCAAAGTTCAGGTTTTTCAACCATTAGTTACACAGGATGGGAAATACAACATGACAAGAAACTACATCAAATACCATTAAAAAGTCCACCAGACACCTTCTACATGACTTAGGCATTTGTGGCTCAAAAGAAATCAAAACATTGTTGGAACTGCCATTTTTCTGGAGAAGACGAGGAGGAAAAGAAAGAAAAGTTCACGTTGTCCTAAACCTCACAGAAGATCCCATACTATTCCAGCCATTTTTAGAACATTTCCCTCTGAAAACCTAACTTTGATTATTTAAAACATCACTTTAAAAAAGGGTAAAAGGCCAATACAGCAACTCGTATGAGCTCATTGGCCTGCTTGCAGCTTGACATGTGATCCTTCCACCTCCTTCACAGAAAATACATGCCCCTTCCCTGCAGCTCCATCCCACCGAACCACCTTGCACAGGCAGTACGATTCAATCTGATTTCTGCTAGAAACAATCACAGCTAGAAACAACCACGACCATTTCAGTAACAACAGAACACATGAATCTCCTGAAATCCCTCGGTTTTACTCTATTCTGGAAGGCTGTTACTTCCAGTGAAACCCATAACTGCAAACCCTCTCACTTAAAGAAGAGCAATCAGAAGCGAGCCCAGATGAGTACTGTTTTTTCTGTGCAATACTGTGCTTTCATCCACAGTTCCACTAAACCGGGAATTTTAAGAGCAACTATACTGCCATAACAGGAAGCAAGATCATCCCAACACAGGCATCAACAACGAGGAGGAGCTGAGAAACAGCTTCTCACCTTCTTGGGATGTAGAAAGACAAGCCATTTTCCAAAGAACTGCAGCAGCTAAAGAAGAAACAAGCATGGTCACAAGCTGGTACTGGTTATGTATCCATCAGGTGTCGGAACAAAGGGGATGACTCATCTGGTGCGAGACTATCTGTGTTTCCAAAACTGAACTAGACTAAAACTTCTCCTTCCTTCTGCTTGCATCCCAGAAATTATTTTGGGAATTAGTTAAAAACATTTTCTATTTGAACACACCATACACAGATCTGACCATGATAAAAGCCCAGCCAGGGGAACCAACAGCTGTGCTCCATTCCCTTGGAAGTGCTCGGCCAGGGACTTGTGTCAGTTTGTGTTCGCCCATTTCTTTCTTTGAGGGGTTCATGACAAACATGTACGTGGTTCTGCACAGCAAGACTGGTATTACAGCTTAGTGGGCAAAGTCTGATGGGCAATACTGGTACACATCATCTCAGACACGAGCTTCATTCACCTACCTGCTTTTGTGAAGTACATAGCTTTTTCTATTTACTGATGCAGTTTTAAAAAGCTTGACCTTTTAAGCCACCAGAATAAACGCTTGAAGCGACTGTAAGTTTTGGAGCGGGAGATTCTCTTGAGATTCAGAGGGAGGTTACTGCTTATTTGGCTTTTTGTTGTGAGAAGAAAGATTTTTGCAATACAAATGAAAAAACTTCCTTGGTTTACTTCTGTTGCTCCTAAAGGCAGGACTGAGGAAACTCCAACAATAAAAATACCAGGAACATGAAATCTTTAGAATAATTGCTGCAAACCACTTTTAAAGCATTAAAATTATATCATCTGATTTTTCCCTAGATACAGACAAACATCAGTAAGAGTTGCTCATAAATCCACTAATTTGTATACACAACTGGAGCCATATTAATACAAATGCTGCACTCTAAAGAAAGTAAAATGGTTTCTTATGAATTATGTGTCTGTTGCCATTTTGCACAAAGAAAAAACAAACAAACCAACCTTCATAATTCACTAATAACTCCAGACTTCCAAGGAATACAGAAACCTCTGTAGGCATAAAAAGTGAAATGTTTGATTTCATCCCAGAATCAAGTATTCAAAACACAGCCCTCCTGAGTTATTAGGCCAAAATCAGACTTGTGAACAGCTTCAAAAACCTTCAGTGCAACTCCTTGCCCTCTGGGGAATCAAGAATATGGAGAAGTGCTCTGGTTAGGAACTGGGAGAAATAAACTTTTGAGATGTGCCCAAGCATACAGCTTTCACCACACACTTAACAAGAAACAGCTGTGTGAAATATCTAAAAAGTAGTATTAATTGCTGCAGCACAGACTTCCTATGCTTCATGACTTTCTCTTGACAAAAAAAGCACACCAACTCCTACAGCATCATACCAGGCCAGAAGTTCAGATTCTGTAAAAACAAGCTTTTAGTAAAGGTTTTTAAGGCCTGTAAAAATATTTGTATAGTTTGGAGAAGCTTGCAAAAAAAAAAAAAAAAAATTCTTGCAGCGCTTTAAACGAGCTGTGATACCGAAAGCCCCAAACGCAAAATCAGCTTCACTAGATTTTCCTCTCCAACTCGAACAACACATGAATAAACAGAGCCAGAATAGTACTGTAAGTTTTTCAGGTTTCAGCCTTATTTTATGCCTTTATTAATGCAAGCTAAGTATTTACCACAGTGTTATATGCTGATCTGAAGATGCAAGATAGAACACAGCCTCGCTAATTAAACACATTTTGACCATGCAGTTGTCACCCGAAGCAACAATTTTAGGTTTAGCTCAATGCAACTTGGTGCAAATGGTCATAAGAGAAATGCAACGTGTAACACCAATGATCCGCATCTTTTGCAGCCTTTAGGTCACCAACAGCAATAGCTCAGACACCGGACACATTTCAGAACTATTCATAATACTTCTTTTCAGCATATGTGAACCTCAAACCCAGATCCATGAAGGTAAACTAATTAAGAAGTCTGCAATCCAAAAAAGTAGCACAGATTGTTGGGAAAAAGCCGATTAACAAATTGAGGGCCAAAAAGGCACATTTTCCAAGTTATTCTGGCAGCCCTCTGGGAGGGCCCCCCTCCAGCACAGCAGTAGGTCATTTCACTGTGCACATCCATAGCATGCCCTTTAATTTGTGATGAAGGCCAAGTGCAAGGCTATGGTTTTGTGACAACACCTGCTGGCTTTGTGACAACAGAGAACTCAGCCCGCTGAGTGAGCATCTTGAAGACTGAGGCTAAGTTGTCATAAAGTTATGAAATAAAAAAAAGTCCTATCCCAATTATAACCTACGTGACCTTTATGCACTAACACCTAAAAAGGACTCTGTAAATTTACGACTACTGTTAAGACTTTCTTTTGTATCTCTTCATAATAAGCCAAAGTACGATCATCTTACCTTTTTCTACCCAGTAAGAAATGAAGTACAAGACACGTAAATTTCATTTCATGCCAGCGTAGAAACTTTGAGGAAAAAGGATAAAGTTGTATCTTTGGGAAGATACAAAAAGGCTTAGAAAACATGAACAGAATAAAGTTAAGGCACTGAACTATAATTCAGGAGATGGATCTGAAACCTTCCTCTGACACAAACTTCTAATACTGTAAGATAAAATTATAGAAGAAACCTAAATAAAACTCTCCTCTGAGCTATTTCCTTGTTCCTGTATTCAGCACAATCACAAACTTGTTATCTGAACAAACAAATCAGTTAACAAAATGCAGTTTATGGATATAACAACACAGTCCATAGTACTGCAGTGAAGCTTTTCCCAGAAGAAAAGGTACCAAGCCCAGAAGCAGCCACCATTACAGCCTCTGAAATGGTACACTTAAAAGCGCAAAACCAGATGTGGCATTGTAAGATGGAAAGAGAATAAGCCATATAAAACCAAAATCCTCAAAACAAAATTAAATTAATCAATAGGTATTCATAGCCTGCAGGACATAAGGCATTAAACTAATTTTTGATCAGAAGGTGATTGTTTAAAAGCTACCTTGCTCAAAACCAAGAAATGCCCACAAATGTTCCAATTATAGGGAAAAGATATACAATATCTGACAGTGCAAGATGAGAAAATCTCTCTTTGCTCACCATGTCCGTGACATCAGGAGATCCTGTCACACTCTTCTCCTTGGAACCGTGTTTTCCAATATCTCTGTGCCACAATAAACACGGGACTAAAGTCCCCCTAGCT